CTTTTACCCTAAACTGAGCTGAGAATATTTAATTTGTCATCTAATCTTAAAAATTATTCGGCAATTTTGACTAGAAAATAGGTTCCATAAAACGAAGATGTTTTTCAAGTTCCAGCGATATAATAATCCTTTATTGGAATTGCATTGATTTTGATCGTTAGAGGAAGGTAACTGTGTCAGTCTGAAAATGTAAATCAAAATTAGTACCATTTATATATTTGAGATTCGAATTAAAAAATTATACCAATATCTTTTGACAGTTGTAGCACATAATTTAGCCATCATCGAGGTCTTCTATGGAGTGTGGATTGATCTATATCAGCTTTATCGAATTCTGGGTCTTGCAGCAAATTGATTTCAAAATAATCGCTTTAAAATCAGATTTATCACTAAAGTGATATCTGTCAGGAATTTTGTATTCTTGCTGTCCGCCAATTTTAACATCGGTCATTATATTTGTTAATAATTGTGTTCAAATTTTAAAATTATTGGTCATTTTTTAATATTTTCTTTTAATATTTCAGATTTGCGATAGGGTAACCTTTTATCTTACAATAAAAAAATGCATTATTCAATGAATTACAATTATAAATCTTCAGATATATGTATGTATGTGTATGTAGGTGTGTTCCAATTTTTTTAGTGAAATATTTTCTCACATTCTAAATAATACATTACTCTACGTAAATCTGGATAATATTTATCTGTCTATAAATAGTATAACGATATTTGTGTGTTTATATCTGTAAACAAAGCTGTCAGAACCACCACTTGGTTCTGATCATTGCGATTCAAAAGTGTATAGGAAAAAATGGGCGCGATTAACAAACCGAGAAAAATTAAACACAAACAATCTTGATTGTTTGTATTTTCCAAACTATCACTATGTGTGTGTGTATGATTGTAAAATAAATGCCCCTCTGAAATTCGCAATGTTAGTTTGTAATAAAATATGTATATACATGTGTGTATGTATAAATAGATATTTCAAATTGATAACAAATGTTGTGTTGCTAATTTTTTGTTGCTAGTGGTCTTTTTTTTTATGAATAAGAAGAAAAATATGCAATGGAAAAAAAAGAGTTTTTTTGTTGTTGTTCTTTGGAAGTCATTTTGATATATTATATATTTTGTTTTATTTTAATTTATGTATGTATATAGAAAAAGAGAGAGTGAGATTTATGAATCTTGGCCTTTGTAATTTTTTTGATTTTTCTCCAAAAAATTCTTTTTAGTTTCAGTTTTGTTACGATCTTTGGAAAAAAAGTAGGTAGTTTTGTTTCACATAACAATTTTTTTAGTAGTAGTTGTTGTTGTTAATCTATTTAACTAGAAAAGTGAATATTTAGTTTCTAGGTTTTTTTTGTTTTTGTAAATTTTTTAAATATAAATTCTAAAAAGGAGTGTATAAATATTTGTTGTTGTTTTTTTATTTTTGTATGTTTAGAAAAATAATTTTATGAGGTGAAGGAGGGGGAAGGGAGTTAGGGATTTGTTTTTGTTTTGAGGAAGTGAATATTTAAATAAAGTTGAATAAAAAAGTGAAGATATGTAAAGCAACATGTAAAGGCCTTTGGGTATATTATACACACCTTGAGGTCTTCTAAAGGCAATCGAAGATCTAGAGGTTTTCGATAGGCAATAGAGGAAGCGGTCGTTTCTTAATTTTTTTTTTAATTAAAATAATATTAGTGGTTTAAAAAATTTTTAAATAATTCAAGGCCGGAAAGGAGAAAATATTTTAAAAATCCGATGGTGGAAGCTACTCGAAAATATTTTAAAAAAATCCGATGGTGGAAGCTACTCGAAAATAATTTAAATAAAAAAACCAAAGGCTTGACATTTTTTTAACCCAAGGTCAGAGGGTATTGAAAACCATTTTTTAATATTCAAATTCGATAAATTCTTGAAAACTATAATTTGTTAATTCAAAGGATGAAATCGTTAAAAAAAAATATTTTTTTAAAATTCTCACAACATGTCCTAGCCAACGTAGTCGCTGCAGCTCAATACGTCTAACAATGTCGATGTCCGAGAATAGCTGGTACATTCGACGGCGATATTCACCGTCAACGCAGATCGGCCCATAGATCTTTCAGAGAAATTTTTCACTCAAACACTTTAAGAGCTGCCTCATCTGCTTGCGTAAGTACCCATGCTTCAGATCCATATAACAGCACGGGTAATATCAGCGTCTTGTAGAGTGAGAGTTTGGTCTGGCGGGATGTTGCCTTGCTTTTGAGTTGTTTGCTCAGTGCATAGGAGCATCTGTTGGCCAACACTATCCCTCTCCGAATTTCAAAACTGATGTCATTCGTTTTGTTTAGGGCGGTACCAAGATATATATAATATTTGATTACCTCGAAGATGTAGTTCTCAAGTTCCACAGTTGATCCGAGTCTAGTGGACGTCTTGCGCGTTGATACCATCAGCTTCCGTTTACTGCCAGACCCACTTTGACAGACTCCTTCTCAATCTGTTCAAAGGTGGCTGTTACCACTCTCAGTTTTCGACCCATTATGTCGATGTCATCGGCGTAGGCGATTAACATGTGTTGTTTGGTGTACAGAGTGCCACTTCTCTTCACTTTTGCCTCTCGTATAACCTTTTCCAGCAGTATGTTAAAAAGGTCACCCGACAAACTATCACCTTGTCTGAATCCTCGTTCGGTATTAAAGGGCTCCGAGAAGTCCTTTCCGACTTTAACTGCTGATCTTATGCCTGTTAAAGTCATCCTGCATATCCGAATTAATTTTGCAGGAATGCCAAACGCAGACATGGCTTTAAACACCTCTGAACGAATAGGACTGTCGAATGCGGCTTTATAGTCGACGAATAGGTGGAATATGTCGAAGTGTTTTTCGTGGGGTTTTTACAGGATTTGGAGCAGAGTGTAAATCTGGTCAATGGTGGATTTGCCAGGGCTGAAGACGCATTTGTATGTTTCAATAATCCCATTTTCCATAGGCTTCAGTCGTTTATATGCGATGGGAAGGAGAATTATTCCTCTATAGTTGGCACATATCGTCTTGTCTCCTTTTTTTGCACGGGACACAGGATGCTGAGGTTCCAATCATTGGACATGCATTCCTCTAGCCAAATTGTACTAATCAGATGGTTATAACTTTTATGTTATATTATTTATATTAAAACATTCAAGGTCGAAAGGAGATTTAAGGGAACCCCCCCCCCCCCCCCATTCTCAATTTTTTATTTTTAAGATTTTAAATGGGCTGGTAAATGAATACCAATGCTTGTTAAGGTTTGTAACTTTGCACACATATATTTGAAGATTTAAAAAGGAAGAAAAATAATTTACAAAAAAATTTTGTTGTTGTTTTGTTGTTGTTTTTTGTGATCAAAGAAAAGTCCTTATTTTTGATGGCGGGCATGATAACTCCTCACTGGAACATCGGAATCCGAAAATTTCAACGGTGTTAGAAAGAGTACATGTCTGGCTCTCGTATGAACTAGGATAATTGACCTCGCTCTAAAATTAACAAAATGGCGGACCTTTGAAAAAATATTTTTGGAAAATCGCCGATTTTTTACCAAAAACCAAGTTAAAAAATAAGGAAGATCTTCACCGATTGGCTTTATCCTAGTTCATACGATAGCTATACACTCACAGAGAAACGTGTAAAAATTTGAAATCGATTGGGTTATTAGTTTTTGAGTTATCGTGCCCGCCATTCGCAAAAAAATGTTTAGAGAAAAACGCGTTTAAAGTTTGAGAAGCCCTTCAGCCGTCACTTGATGCTGACACAATAAATCAGCTATATCTTCAAGAGTTCTTGAGATTTTAACTTGAAATTTTGCAGGGACATTCTTGAATTAGTGTAGATTGGAATTAAGTCAACAAAAATTTTGACCCCGAGAATGGGGGGGGTCCCCTTAAAAAATAACTTTTTATATCTATCCAATATCCAAGGTCGGAAGGAGCTTGAAAATTTAGTTTCTAAATACTTCGTAATAGAAAAGAGTTTAAAAAAAATATTAAAAAAACATTAAATAAAATCCAAGGTGCTTTAAAAATTAATTAAAAATACAAGATTCTGATAGGCCTTGAAATATTTATCGTAAAAAATTGCACGAGTAGGATAGTATCGGAAAAATTAATCTTTGAAAATCCTCTCGACTTTCTTAAGACAATAGATGACCTCTAGGTATTTTATAGACAATTTATAGACAATAATACTCAAAGGTCTTCTAAGGGAAATAAAAAAGTTCTAGGTATAGGTATACTATAGTTAATATGCACCTTTTGATCTTCTATAGACCATAGAAGGTCTCTTGGTCGTCTATATACAATAGAAGACCTAAAGGTCGTCTACAACCAGTAAATGACCTCAGATATTCTCTAGGGAATAGAAAACCAATAGGTACGCTTGTATGGAAGACTTATTTGCCTCCTTGTAGAGAGAAAAAATAAATAAATAAAAACAGGTTTGTATTTTCCTTTTTTGGTTATGATCTTCACAATATCTATGTGCAAATATGTGTTTGTAAATATAAATATTTCTTTATTTTAGTATAATAATTATATTTCATTTTTATCTCCGATTAATTTTAAAGAACTTCTATGGGTTCTTGAATACTAATAAATGGTGGAATATTTATTAAAAAATATATATAGTGTTAGATACGTTTTCGAATGTTTGTTGAGCATAAACTTATTAAAAAAATTAATTTTTAATTAATAATGGTTTAAAAAAATATATATTAATATAAAATGAGCAAGAAAGAGATACATGATTAGAGATAGAGAGAAAAAATAATTACGAATAAAGCTAAAATGCAATAATAATTATAGTAAAAAATGGAATCACTTCGAGATAAGGGATGTCGCGGTTAACCAATCAAAGGTTTGGGGATGGAGGGAGGTAGGTTAGGAGAGATATATATTTAATTTTTGTTGTGTTATAGATGTGTGTGTGTTTTTTGGAAGGATTACATATAAGACTATCTACTGTTTGTTTCTTTGTAAAAAAAAAAACAATTTACTTGTTTGAGCCACCACCTCCGGCTCCACTGCCTGTGGCCCCATCACGCCTAGTCATGGGTATAGCTGCTCTTTGATCTTCCATTCGGCCACTTTGAACTTTCATAATAAGCGAAAAGAAATCCTCATCAGGTACTGTGGTACCCCTACCAGCCGATGGTCGATTTCTCGGTTGAGCCTCAGCATCAATGAGAACATTTGGTCGTGGCAATTCGGAACGTTGCTCTTCCAGCCGGGAGCTCTGGCAACGCATTAACATATCCAAAAAGTCATCGTCAACTTTTTCCGTTGCAGTGGCACTGCGCAACAACTGGGGATGACTAGCGGCGGCTGCGGCAGTGGCATTGTTACCACTTGCCGTGCCATTATTTGATGATGTACTACTGGCAGCATTAGCTTTCAGACCCGGCAAACCATTTGCACCATCACCACCATTTGCAAAGCCGTTGTTGTTTTGTATTGAATTGTGTTGTTGCAAGGGTTTACGTGTAGCTCCACCACTAGCGGAGGCTGCACCTCCGGCGGTAGCAGCTGCATTACCACCACCACCAGCCACAGCAATTGGTGCGGAAATATTTGGTCCCTGACTACTAATTTTATTGATTTTAATGGAGCAACGTTGATCATCCATACGTTTGGACTGGGAACGTGACAACAGCTCAAAGAAATCATCATCCTGAGCTTTGGCCATGGGCGGACGCATTGCTTTATTGTTGGCATCTTGTTTTTGTTGGCGTTTGCCATCGGGTGTGATTTTAATTAAATCCAGCTGTTCCATACTCTGGCGGCGAACGCGGACCTGGAAGAAGAAAAAGAAGAAATTAATAAATGATTACATTTTTTGGAAAGGACTGTTTTAAGAAATAAACTCTTTTAAAAAATTCACGCCTTGAAAAAATATTTTTTAAAAAATACACGCCTTGAAAAAAATATGTTTAAAAAAATTCACGCCTTGAAAAAAATATTTAAAAAAAAAACACGCCTAGAAAAAATATTCTTTAAAAAATCCACGCCTTGAAAAAATATTTTTTAAAAAATCCTCGCCTTGAAAAAATATTTTTTAATAAAATCCACGCCTGGAAAAAATATTTAAAAAAAACCCACGTTTGGAAAAAATATTTAAAAAAAATCCACGCCTGGAAAACATTTTTTTTGGAAAAAAATCCACGCCTTGAAATTTTTTTTTTTAAATCCACGCCTTGAAAACATTTTTTGAAAAAATCCACGCCTTGAAAATCTATTCTTTAAAAAATCCACGCCTTTTGTAAGCCTTGAAAAAATATCCTTTAAAAAGTCCACGCTTCTTTCAAAACCCATTGATCGGATAGGCCTTAAAAATATTTTTCAAGCTTCGTATCAAAGTTAAAAAAAATCCCTAGGACACTTACCATCCTTCCCTGCGAATTTTCCGAACCATCTGACTGGACATCACTACCCTGCGACAAGTCGGTATTACTTGAACGATCATCCAACTCCACCGGAGATGGTGCCACTTCGGGCATACCCAACAGCTTACGCAAATCGGCAATATTCACACGAGCTGTACTCTCACCGACCGGATCCTGTAGCTCTTTGGCCAAATGCAAATGCGATTCAGCATATTTTAAAGCTTTTTCATGATTTCCAATCGCTGAATGGGCATTTCCCAGTGACCAACAGGCACGAGCCTCACCAACACGATCACCCAATTCCTGAGCAATACCCAAATGACGTTGATGATAATCAATGGCGGTGGCAAATTCACGCAACAGAGTATAGGTGTTGCCCAAGCTATAACAGGATTGGGCCTCAACTTCCCGCTCGCCCAATTCAATGGCCAAGGCCAGGGTACGTTTGTAGTGATCGGCAGCTTCTTCAAATTGGCCCAAAAAGATATGTGAGTTGCCCAAATTGCTGTTGGCACGACGCTCCGCCGCCTTGTCACCAAATTCACGGGCAATGCGCAAGCGCTCCTGGTGATGTTCAATGGCAGCCTGGAAGTCACCTGTAAATAAAAAACACACACACATTTCAGAATACCCACATTTCAAAACACTTCATCCCGCTGCCGCCTTACCTAACAGATAATAGGTGTTGCCCAAATTACCACATGCCCTGCCTTGGGCACCACGATCACCCAGCTCCCGCATCAATTTCAAATTCTCTTGATAATATTCCACGGCTTTGGTCAGGGCCTCCTTCACATCATCACCAAAATCTCCAGGATTTCTTTGACCCATATGCTTACCCTTGGCATGATAAACATTACCCAAATTGTAGAGGGCCCTACCCTCCGATAATTTATCACCCAATTGCCGTGCCAGTGTTAAATGACGATCACAACACATTACGGCCTCATCGAATCGCCCCATTACCTTAAAGGTATTACCCAAATTACCCGATGACTTCGCCTCACCCAATTTATCATTCATGGAACGGGCCAATGTCAAATCCAATTTATGATATTGCATTGCCTTGGAATAGTCGCCCAAATAGAAGTAGGCGTTGCCCAACTGAGAATAGATCGCACTCAGTGTGCGAAGGTCATCGGTTCCTGCACGAATTGCGGCCTGAAAGAAGGCCACACCTGCCCGACAATCGCCAGCCTTACACAGGCGTTCACCTTCCAAGGCCAATTCCAGGCACATACTCGGTGCGGCGCCATCCTGTGAGGAGCCATCACCAGCTGAACCACTGCCGCCACCGCTACCACCACCGACATTTACATTTTCAGCCGATGCTGAGGCGGACAATGACGACGACATCTCGGACACACAACGACCACTCACTCAACGCGACGCAACGCTCTTTACTTGTTGTTATTTCTGCTGGTGTTCTGTTTTATTTTGTCTTCGTTCTTTTTCGCTTAACATAAATTGAAATACATCGATGTGTGTGAATAGAGATCGTTGTTACTGCTGTTTGGCGTCGTCCTCGAATGTATCTGCTGGGTGGCTGCCTGTCTGCGTATTCACAAATTTCTTAATTTTTTCCGAGTATTGTTTTTTCACGTCTTAAAGCAACAAATATGAGAAGTGATTCACAAACTATGATGAGAATGGCTGTCTAAACAAAATGAATTAGGGATACTGAAGTCGACTTTGGGATACAGGGACTTAGAGATCGAAATTAATAACAAATGGCAGCACTTATACAAATTGCTCTTTGAACACGGTGAGATTTGGCAGCACCTGGTGTAGATGCGCTTTGAGCTATCATTCCGATTATTTTGAGATGGTAGATCGATAATACCCATCGATAACATGTAATTTGTTGTAATTAGAAGTTATTTCTGGAAATGATTGATAAAAAATGGAAAAATGTTTAATTTATGAACGGAATTAATGTCTAAATGTTTATTTTTACGAAATCCACCTCACCTCAAATGTCCCATAGATTATACGTCAGGATTTGTGAACAGGATTAACGTGACTTATACGCTATTGAATTGACGTTTGTAATCGAGTGTATTTTTCTGCATATTTTCATATTTTTCACTAAGATATCATACGACATTTCACTTTGTATTGAATGGCTCTTAAAGGTCCTTTCAGACTTTAACTGGCGACGTTATGCCAGTTAAAGTTATCCTGCATTGCCGTATTAAGTTTGCAGGAATGCAAAACACAAACATGGCTTTAAAAACCTCTGAGCGGATTGGGCTATCGAATGCGGAAAAGGATTTGGCGCAGTGTAAAAATCTGGTCTATGGTGAATTTGCCAGGTCTGAAGCAGCATTTGTATGGTCCAATAATGTCATTGACCTTTGGCTTCAGTTGTTCACACAGCTGGATAGCACATTATATGCGATGGGAAGGAGACTTATTCCTCTATAGTTGGCACATATCGTCTTGTCGGGACACGGATGCTGAGGTTCCAATCAATGGGCATTTTCTAGCCTAATTGTACTAATCAACTGGATCATGCTCCTGACCAGCATCTGAACACCGGTCTTGAATCGTTCGGTTGGTAATTCATCGGCTTGCTGCTTAATTATTTTCCAGCCAATTAATTTCTACACTCTATACTTTTATCTCTAATTGGATCTGGCGTACTTTCTTCACCGTTACTATTTGATGCCAAAAGCTTTGCAAAATGCTCCTTCCAGATCCTCAAGACGCTGTCTGAATCTGTTCAGGTTTCCTTCTTCGTCTCTACAGGAGTATGTGCCTGCACCAAAGCCTTCGCTCTGTTTTTTACTCGTTGGTCAAATTTCCGGACTTCATTCTGACTTCTGTACATCTCGATTTGCGCATGCTTACGATTTTCTTGTTCTTTCTTCTCTACCGATATTTCTCCATCGCATTACGTGTTGCTATTGTCTGCAGGGTTGCCCTATACGCTGCGTTTTTCACATCAGTAGCATTACGACTCCTGATCGTACCATGGGTTTCTTGATGGTGGTTTTTGGTATCAAGTGTTGATTTTGCTGCAGTTTGTTGGGAGTGGGCAATTATTTGCCATTCTGCAAAGAATTGCACAAAATTGTGAAACAGTTTAAAAAATATAATTATAAATTATAATTAATGTTATATTAAAATATCATTAATTGAATGAATATATATATATATATATATATATATATATATAGAAATGTTGAAATAAATAATGTTTAATAGTTCAAATATTTAAATTTAACAGTATTATAATCAGAATGCTATACGCCAATTCCAATGCAATTGTTTATAGTTTAAGGTTGGTTTTATGCATGGCACAATAAATAGGCAGTCCATTTAGCGCAGCTGATGACTTGATTAAATGTCAAAGTGCGCAATTTCTACCTGAATTTGATGTGGAATGTTGCCAACCATGTGAAATATTATATGGAAAAATTTGACAGATTATTATTGCGTCACTGTTTTATGTATTGCGTCCATTTGTAACTTACAAAATGTGACAAGCAGACTCCATACTATTTATGTGAGAAATATGAAATAAAGAATAGTAAGGAAGAAGCTAAAGAATAAAGTTCAAAGTTCAATTCAATAAAGTTCATTTGTTTTCTCAATAATGTAATTATAAATTGTGGTTTTTAAATTTTGATTGGACACACATTTTTTTGAAAAGCAAATTTGTAACATTTCATCTGGAAACTGAAAATTTTGGAAAATAAATCCAAAGTCTTCGTCGTCTTCGGATTTAAGTGTAACCGAATTTATATATTCTTTTATATGAAGTTCACATTCACATTTCTGATTTTCCTTACTGATGGATGCATATTATTGTCTACTAAAGACGGTAATTGTGAAAATAGTATTCCAAAGCATCTTGATTTATTTTTCCTGGCAATATGAATTTAATATCAAATAGGTCCTCGCTACGAAATAATAGGCATGGAATGCTCTGACTGAAGCCACCAATACAATGCACATTAACACTGTTATTTACAACAAAGGTAATCTCTCGCTTATTGGAGTTGACCTATTTTATTTTTGAAATTGAGTGATGAGGGGGTTTTAGCATTCAATTCATCAAATATATCATTCATTCTTTTGATGAACTCAGCAGTCGGGAATGCATCATCTGAGATGTATCCGTTTTCTAAGCATGTGCGCCAAGCTGCTGCTACCGAATTGCTTGGCCCTACTGACGCTCATTTTATCACACAGGGCAGGATTTATGTGCTTCTCTGTGAAATTTGTATTTTCAATTCAATTTCAAACACTGATAATTTCTCCTGAATTGGTTTTGAATCCATGTTTCATCAAATTATTCCTAATAGATGTTAAAAGCTGGCAATAATCATACATACAATACACTTTTCGACCATTAAAAGTAAAATAGGGTTCATTATATGACGACACTAGGAAACTAAATAGGCCAATGTTTGCGGCCCCCTGGTCACAAAGTATGACTCTCATATCCAAGCCTTTATCCTGCATAATGTGTAGGTTTTCGCACAAAATATTATACAACAACGCTTTTGTGAGATGCTTGGATACAGGATAATAACTTATGACATATTTCCAGTCGGAACAAATACCTTTAATCATAGAAAAGAGACACTTATGAGCCATTTTGTTTGACTTCTGTCATTCCCAAAATCTTTGAAGCAACAAACAACATATTGTGCTTTGTTTGTTTTATGTCCACTACATCAAACACTAGGAAGCAGATGCGTTCTTTGGAATACATTTTCTGCACTTGCATGCTTAGGCAATTTATAACAGCAGCATCTAATCATGGACTCACACACCGAATCTGTATCCATCGGTCAGAGACCTAGGATTTGATAAATTAAAATTAATTTTGTCCCTCCTAAATTTATAACACCTCGCACCTCTAAAATATAAATTTGAGCTAAAATCCGTTCGGGCTAATGTTAGTGCATCTTCTGTCATATAATGGGAGGGAATTATACAATTTTTCCTAAAATTATGCAACTCATTTTTGAATTTGGCATTTTCTCGAATTAAACTATCCCGCTCTGTCGTAAGATCATGTATTTTACCCTTCAAAACTACATTTTCCTCATTTAGTATAATTTCCCTTAGCCTCATTTTCGCATTTTCCTCTCTTAACACATCGATTTCGCTTTTATTAATATTTTCACATATGGCCCCAATTGCGTCAATTTTCCCACAAATGTAATGAGTAAGATTTTAACAAATGTAGTTACAATGTATCTTGTAAATTGTATAATACAATTTGTAATGCAATTCTATAATAAGTCAACGACAATATTACTGACCATTTAACTTTAAATTTCATGTTGTTACAATTTCATTATTTAACGTGTCGCCCAACTGGTGTTATTTAACTTTGCTAAAATACATATATGTGATGAAAATGCATTATCTTACACTTCTTCTCCAGTAGGGCTTTCATTTTTAGTGCATTTTCCTTCCGAGTTACTTCCCATTTCCACATTAGGTACCACATCTTCTGGAGGTTGTTGTGTGTTTGAATATGTTTTTGCACATTTTTCTGAATTGGTCGCATTTTCCATATCATCCAACTTTAGTTTTAAGCGATCCATCTCACCGTTTTCAGTTTTTTTTTAGAAATTCATTTGCGTATAGTGCAACTTCAGCAATTGGAACAAATACAATAAAAAAGGAAAAATAAAATCATAAGCAAACAAAAGACTTTATGTATGTATGGCAATGCTGACAAAAATCAAATGAAGAAACTACATCCGATCGTTCCTCTCTAGCAAATGAACTAGTTACTTTCATTAATATCGTATACCGTAGACAGACGAGAACGTTAATTTGCATTAAACAAATTTTAATTTGAATTTAAATTTCACCCTGACAGACGACAGTTTCTGCATTTATGTTACTGCTGATTCTTGTAAATACATATTTGTTTGTGTAAAAATAAAAATAATTTGGAAGACGCTAGAAAAAAAATGGATAGAAAACAAAAAATAAGATCAGCAGCTATGATGCTTGTGAAACATCAATACTTATTTGAAAGGAAGCTTAAATTGTTGTTGCTGAAATTGATCCAGAACTTGAGAGTTATTCATGCACTATCAACCACTAATCATAAAGTGTTGTTGCAAGTTGGAATCGCAGAAGAAGGATCTGAAATAAGAGAAAGGCAATTGTGGAAATTAGTATAACATTCACTTCATATAGTATAACATTCGCATGTATATATGTATTTTTATAGGATCGGAATAGCACTTTTTGGGAACATGACGTGCCTGCGATGGATGATAGCAGATTTAAGGAAAACTTTCGCCTCAACAGGAGTGCCTTTCGGTGGGACGCAGCACCGTTGGTGAAATTGTGGGAGATTTTTGCAATGCGATATGTAATAACCTATCTAATTGCATAAATTCATATCCTCGAACTACTGAGGAAATTAAGCGGATTGTTGACGGGTTCGAAGAACTTGGGTTTCCACAATGTTTTGGAGCAGTAGATGGTTGCCATATAGAAATTCAGCCAAAAAAAGAAGATGCCGTGGATTACCACAATTACAAAGGCTGGTATTCAGTAATACTGTTAGCAAGTTGCGATTACAGGTAAATTTTATCTTAAATATTTTTTGAAAACGTTAACTATTCTTTATTTTAGGTCAAAATTTACATATATAAACATTGGATCAAGTGGGAAAAATAATGACTCTTATACATTTTTGCCCAAAACAGTAAAATAATTGCCGGTATCTATGTGCCATTGTTGCTTATTGGCGATTCAGCCTTCCGCTTATCGCGCTATATGATGAAGCCTTTCCCTTACTCAATAAATCAGCCAGATGTAGAAAAAATCGTTAACTACCGACTATCCAAATGTCGCCGCGTGATTGAAAATGCATTTGGGCAACTGAAAGCTAGATTTAGGAGAATAGGTAGAGGCTTACAAGTATCAACAAAAAATATCAACATAATAATAAAAACATGTTGTATTTTGCACAACTTCTTGAAAATGGAGAACGATGAAGTTTCTCTTGTGTGGATGGAAAATGTTGCCGGAGACTCAACTACACCTCCTCAGCCTAGCCACACAACAAGAAGAGGTGAAAATGATGTGACAGCATCAATCATAAGAAATGCAATAGCATTGAGTTTCAGTAAGTAAAATTATATTTTATTATATATTAAAGTAAATAAATTAAAGTAAATTCTAAATCTTATCTATTAAATTTTTCATTAAAATAATAAATTCTCGGCTGGTTTCATTTTGTTCTCTGATAGCACTCACAATTTGATTTGACAGACATTGGCTATCTTCTAACACACATTTCAGCATATCATTTTGCTCTTTCATAATTTTTATAACTTCGCCTAAATTATTTCTCTTTTTTGCAGAGGACGACGAAGAGGGGGTTGCTGGGGGAAACACGACATCAAGATATGGCTGTGGCGATGGAGACAATGGTGATGTTTCGGGATGGTTGCTTGAATCAGACGTGTATTCCTAAATAAAGACAAAATTTATAGATGCATATTATATAATTAATTATTTCTTACAAATAAAAACGATTCCAAAACTTCCGCATTATTGTGAAATTTCGAATCTTGACGTGCACCACTTCCGCAGTAAATTTATGGTTCATTTGCGCTGCAATATCTTGGTAAATGTGACCATTCCGTTTTGCACGCCGCAAGTCGTTGGCACGTTCTTCCCAAAGTTGAAGTAAATGATGTGTATCAATGTCGCACCACACACTACGTTTCTTCCCCTTTGACATCTTAAAATTCATATTATTAATATTTCGTTCTTAAATTTAAAAAAAAAAACTTACTTTTTCTGTTGTGTTTTCCATTTTTATTTACACAAAATGTAAACTATTTGACAATGATTGATTGATTTTCAACAGCATTGCCATATTGAAATTTCTAAATTCAGTATAAATTCAGTTCAAATTCGTGCATTTAGCTTGACATATAAAAGGAGATAATGCTCAAATTAATTTGAATTAAGGCTGTTAATGCAAATTAAGGCTACCGTCTGTCTAGGCTAGTATCCTGCTGGTCTATCGACCAAAACAACAACATTAAGCTAGTTTATTGGATATTGGATTGGCTTCATATATATAGACATCCCGAGATATTCGCTTGGGTCTACCCACAATGAGAACCGGAATGGAGTATTGGGTTATAATAATTATAATTAGATTGTGATTTCCCTAGGGTGTAGTACAAACCCTGCTATCCCAATTTCAGACACGCAACGAGAATGAAGAGAATCACTAATACACTTACACAAAAATGCATCGTTGCCCTATAGAGACCTAAACCTGATGGTTAATCTCCCCACCCAACCTTGGTCAAAATCGGCCTTTTCTTCCATTATGTGACCCCGTAATCCGCCCACATCACAACACTCACCTCTATCTTAATTCTCCATATTATTCTTCATGATTTTTATCATATCATATTTTGAAATTGGCTTGAAAAGTTGAGACCTCATGTGCCCCATTATGTGGAAAAAGTTGTCCACGGTTTCGTTGGGTAGCTGTTTTCGTTGAGTCATGTCCGTAAGAATTTAAAAATTAGACTTGGAAGTCTGGTACTGGTTCAATATGCTATATTTTAGGTTTTCCCAATCGTGTAGCCTATTGGTCTTCTGGAATAACCAGCATCAATATTCCGCACGTCCTGATAAAAGGAGTAGAAAATCTCCAATGATTTCCGACCAAGGGATTCCGTACTGCCTTTTAAAATATTCGAGGCGATACATAAACTCCTCAACTCACAGCCCGGTCGAACTACCATCAAAACGTAAACCTAATTTATTTATCGACACTGGTCCTAGGGTCAAATGGCACTGATTGATTACGTTGTGTAATGGCTTGAAATTTGTGTTCCTACTGGGGGATTCCGATGCACTTTGATTACTTTGAGAAAATGCCTGCAGAACACCTGGATTACCGGACAATGAGGTATTATCGTTTATAACTGGATGTGTTGCTAAGGTGATATTACCTGATGAACCTGACCAACGCCATGAGGGCTTTGGTCAATTCCATTATTGACTTCTTTATTTAATCCATTTAATTTTTCAGGTCCTTTAGTTTATTTTCAAGCTGCCGATTCCACAACCCATGATCTCGGAGAGAGAAGCCTACCGAATTAATCCCTGGCTGTTGTTCTCCGATTTGGCCCTGGAGAAAAACGGGCCCCAAAGAATTGGTGAATGGAGAATTCTCGTTTATAGAGTGAGATAAGTCCCTAATCTGTGCATCATTGGGATTAATTTCTGTCATCTCGCTTCCGGTATCCTTTTTCTTTTCAATGACTGATGTATTTATATCAAATACCGTAGATCTATCCCACTTCCTGTTTTTCATAACTTCTCAGCACACACCAGTTACCAATCTATGAACGGAAGTATGTAAAAACAATATCACTTATACTTCTATTTTAAAAAATAAAATGTCTTTTTATCTTAACCTTTTTTATACCCTCCACCATAGTATGGAGGGTATATTAATTTTGTCATTCCGTTTGTAACTCATCGAAATATTCATTTCCGACCCTATAAAGTATATATATTCTTGATCAGGGTAAAATTCTAAGACGATCTAGCCATGTCCGTCTATTGTAATCACGCTATTTTCTGAAGGAATTAAGATAGGGTGCTGCATAAGTTTGTCTTTTGTCTACAGGCAGGTCCACCATAGTATGGAGGGTATATCAATTCTATATATATATATATTCTTGATCAGTTTTTGTTATTTGAATTTTGCCTTGTAAGGGCAGTGATCATTTGAAAGTTATTTTAAGTGGTTATTTATACTCTTTCGAGTCGAGCTTGATGATCTAAGTTTTGCAATGAAAAGGAAAGCCAGGAGATCGGGGTAAAATTCTAAGACGATCTAGCCATTTCCGTCTGTTGTAATCACTATTTCTGAAGGAATTAAGATAGGGTGCTGCATAGGTTTGTCTTTTGTCTACAGGCAAGTTCGAATATTGGATATATCGGTCCACGTTTAGGCATAGCCCCCATATAACAGTACCCCCAATTTTCGGTATTTTGGGTTTCTTTAGTGCGTTTTTAACCGAAAACGCTGAAATTTGGTACATTGGGTACTAAATGTCTCCACAAAAAATTACAAATATAGGTCCACTTTTTCTGGTAGTCTCCATATATCGGTACCTCCTAATTTTCAGTATTTTGGTGGTTTTTATCGTATTTTTTTCCACCGAATTGGCTGTAAATTAGTATTTTTAGTTCTTAATAGATAACAAATCTCTTCACAAAAAATTATAAATATATGTCCATATTTTCGGATCGTCCCCATATAATCCCCTTTTTATATTCAAATAGTTATATAATTTTTTCCGTGTTTGGGTTTGGTTCTAAGACTCTGTTGTAATCATTTCATCTGCGGGCTAAATAGCCCGCATTTAGCCCTAGCCCATGTGTAGGAGGTACAAGAAGGAGTGGACCGATATTCCTCATGTTCGAACTTGAACTTTGAAACAAATGGGGCCCAAACAAACATTGTGTCGAGGACCAATATTTAGAACCATAATCGGTTTGTAGAAATGTCGGTATAGGTACACTTTTTGGTATGTTCCCAATATTTTTATTTCAAATACCTGTCATTATATCTATGGTGGAGGGTATCCAAAGTTCGGCCCGGTTTACTTAACGCTTTTCCACTTGTTTTATCTCACCCTGTATATGTTTCTTCTGTTTTTTCTTAATCGTTCAATGTTCGCTTGTTATTTTTTTTTATTTTATTTTCCTTTTCTATGCTTGAAAAAACTATAAAAATTAAAAAAAAAAAATAATTCATACGGTTTAAAATTAAACATATCGCCATGCCACTCAACATCCAACACCATTTTTTCACTCTCTCTATCGATTACGTTCAACGATTACAAATGATAACAGATATCTCTACTCGCCGATAGCTTGCACAATCGCCGACTAACGAGCTATAGAACCCTATTCGAAGCCAGCTCTTGTAAAACGCAGAAAATAGAAAAAGGAATTTTGTGTCGAAAACGTTTATTTAATTCCATAATAAATTGCAATGCAATTCTATTGGTGGTGAAAAAACTCTGGATACGAAAAGTGTGTAAATTTTGCGAATATATTTAAAGAAAGCTAAAGAATTTTCCGAAACAGCAATTAACCAAAAAAATTGTTCAAAGAAAAAAATTACTACTTTGGAGAAAGAAAGAAAGAAAAAATTGTGTGTGTGCCCCAGAAAGAAAAAATCGAAAAGAAAGAGAAAATAGAAAAAAAGAAGCAAAAGCAAGCAAGCGAAAAAAATTAAATGAAGAAAGATTGGGAAAAAATTTAATGAAATTTTTGCAAAAAAATTTTTTGAAGAAAATTGTGGAGAAAAAATATTTTGCAATTAATTTTTAGCAAATTTTTTCAAAAAGAAGAGAAAGAGGAATAAAAGAGAAATAGAAAAAATAATTTTGTGCAAAAAAAATTGTGTGTGGATATTTTCTCCCCCTCACGGTTACTTTGAATTATACACACCAACCAGCCAGCCAGCGAGCCACCAGCAGCAGAAACACAGCACCTAAATAGCGAGAGAAGAGTGGTGGATTGTGAGGCAGGACCGACCAACCAACCGACCGACAAGACACGGAAAATGAGTAGAATATAATAAAAAGAAAATCGATTTTCCTCCTGATGTCTCATAACGAAGAAAAACCGAAATAAAATAAAATTTAAATAAAAAAAGCAAAAAAGAAAAATACTCGAAAAAAATTAGTGACGAAATAAAAATTAATCATTTTTCTTGAAATCTAATTTTGTAGATATTCGTCGACGTTGACTTCTTCGTCGTCGCCGTCTGTGTCGGGCCAAGCTAAAAAAAATATTTAACAAATGCAAACGCATAAAACAATAATTCAGCAAATTGCAAGATAACTAAAAAAATTACCTACCAACCTCCCCAACACCGCTCCTCCTACACTTCTCATTGCCTGCTGATCTCCTCCTCATATAATACTAATAATAATACACACATAAATATATACCGACGAGGGTATCAGCAGCAGCAATCAGCAGTCGGTTTTGGGGAATCATCCGAAAATATCGGCAAATTTCAAAAAAAATAATTAAATATTCAATAAAAAAATATTTTTTTGTAGAAAAAAAAACTTTTTTATGAAAATCCAACAAAAAGCCTGTTAACAATATTTACAGATCGAAAAAATCTGAAAAAGCGCAGAATAGAAGTTCTACATTGCATCGTTGCAGCAGTTCGATCGACGACTACTAATCTAATGATCCGCTTGGGGTCGTTCTCAAAAAAACGAGATTACTAATGTGATTTTTTGGTAAGTAAATGTGCATGAATAATTTTGCAATAATTTTCTATAAATGTTGTTTTTAATTATTTTAGTTTTTTGTTTGTTAAATTACAAATTGTGGTGAGGACCACCAACCCACTGTCAGACTTTTTCCACCCATAAACATTTTACAGGCAATTTTGAAGTGCCGTTCGGGGGTTAGGTACCTCATATAGAAAAGGAAAATAATAGTGTAGGCAAAAGATAAACGGCAATAACAACAAAAACAAGCGAACATTGACCGATTAACAAAAAAGTGCTACACACTCGTCGTCCATCACTTCGTCTGCCGGCCAGAGTGACTGACTTCGTCGTCATTAGTTGTGTGGCCCTGTTGTGTACCACAACAGATGCTTTATAATAAAATAGTAGTAGGAAAATAAATTTTGGTTGGAATGTGCAAGTATAGGGTTTTCCATTA